GATTAATAGAGACTGGAGAGATACACACACACGCACACACACGCACACACACTACTACCCGTAAATTATGATCTGTGTTGACTAGTGGAACAAAAACTATTGGAGAAACGTAAACACAAGATGAGGCAACAAGACAAGACAAAGGGTGGAGGCAAAGTGAGGGGTGTAGGAGATCGGAAAGTACAAAGCTATACTATCTATACTTGGCTTTTACTGGAAAGTACAAAGCAAGTATAGATATAATATGAAGGAAAAACTGTGTTAATTTTACTTATAATAATTATTTGGTCGAATTGTTATAATGGCATTTCTTCCCAGTGCAGCCTTAATCATACAAACTGACATGTTTACAGTAGGAATGAACATGTAGTCGCTGGAAAAGCTGCGGTCAGCTATAAACAGCCACAGCTTAAATGCTGCCGTTGGCTGGATATTCCCAATGGTGTGATCAGTAGTTTGAGAGGCAGTGCTGGCCTGAGGCAAGTAGCCCCTGGCTTCATGTCCTGGTTATGGTCGAGCTGTTTAAGCTTTAGTTGACATTAAAACATAAATGTCTTTCTGAGCGCAGTTCTTGGAAAGATATAACAGTACTTAAATACAGCTAAATGGAGTTCAGTGTTTACTGAAATTTATATTACACGTTTATTAAATTTGAAACAGCTTTAAACACAAGAAACATATTAATGCATTTTCTTTCAGCACATTATTATTATTATTATTTTTGATATAGTTTTGTACACCCTTCTCTTTGAAATAAACAGCACTTACATGTCAGTGTTTTCAAGGTCTGCAGGCTGGAACTCACAGATGGTAGCAGAGAGACTGTGGATAAATTAACATCAAAAGATGTCAGTTAATCCTTTTCAAGTTCCCTGCAAAGAAAACTTAGTTACATAAAGTTGAGGAGTGGAAAAAAAAATCAAAGCAAGCTGTAATAATATTCTAGTAGGATTACAGAACATACAACCCCTCCAAATATAGATGTACTTTCAGCTTTTCCTTAAAAATGTAACACAAACACTAGTAAGTGTTAGAATCACAGATCACAAACAAATGAGAAAAACCTGTAACATCTGTCCTCAAAATTATATCACATACTGTGAAAAGTGTATGAAAGAAAATGATTCATCACAATGCAATATGCAAACTGATGTTGTATCCTGCAGCTGGTTTTCTCTCAGACTCTTAAAAAAACCACTGAAAAAGTGATTCATACTCTGTTACTGAGTGTTAGACCACCACATCTATAAATCCGACTGATATTATGTTTATGCAACACAGCTGACAAGTTTTTAGTAGAGCATAAGAAATAGCCATTTTAAGGGTGTAAAGACTGATTGACTGTTTTGAATGAGTGTAATGTTTTGTATTATTGATCTTCTGATGTCAGTGTGCACCCATTGTTGAGTGCTTACTATACAAAGTGCTGTGTACAAGATATATCAGTAGAGAATGTGTGTACAGGCATGACAGTGTGTGTGTGTGTGTGTGTGTGTGCACACATACATTGCAAGTATTTTAAACCATAGATGAGTGATAGTGTTTCCTCATAAGCCTGTCTCGGCCTTGCATTCCTCTCATTGGTAGAGTCTGGTGTGTGCCGGCTTTCAACTAATCTGGGAAGAATGTCGGTTTCAGATGCACATGTGTTCCATTAAGTCCAGATCTGCGTAAATAATATAACATGCAACAGCTAGCATTACAGGTAACCATACCCCCACAGCTGCTCCTTTGGCTTTACAGTCCCCCAGTGGTGCAGCCTATAAAAAGGGAAGGCCAGTGTTGATTTCTAATGAGAAAATCTATTGCAGTGCTCACTGTGTTTTAAACAAGCTAATATCGCTTTGCAAAAAAAGAGAGATTATTTGGCAGTTCAAAAATATGACTCGAGAAATTTAATTGTATTGGATAAAAATTGGATACCTCTATATTAGATAAGAAAACTTGGAAAATGTGCATTGATGGTGCATTAATATATGTTAAATGGTACGCTGACAGATATTTGAATTACTCACCTTGACATGCATCAGAATAAAACAAATCTTTATGTAAATCAAAATGAAGACATGAATGTTTGTTGCATGGCTGGAGTCTTGCAACCATGCATGCTTCCCAAGTTATTAATGATTCTATATGCAGACCACTGCCATTAGACCTTTGTGTTTATTGTCAGCCTGCTCTGCTTGTAGTGATTGGCTTGGCCCTGCCAAGTGGCAGGCCAGTGTTTGCTTGTGCTGTCTGCCTGGGGAAACCCCTTTTGTCCCCAAACAGACACTGTATATAATACAAAGTTCAGAGGATGCCAGCGTCTTCCTGGTGTGGTGCAGCGTCTTCCTGTGGCAGATAAACAAAGTTAGTTAGAAGTTCCGAGTCATTTATTTAGTTGTGTATTCATTTATGTTCCTTTTACTTTTTCGGCAAAGATTACAATAGCATGAACAAACAAGTGAATCTTGCCTGCTCTATTTTGGTCAGCAGTACAGAGTGGGTGGGCAGGATTTAAAAAAAAAAAATAGAGAGAGAGAATAAGAGGTTAGATTCAACCCGAGGTCAAGTAGACATGGTACGGCATCTGGTTTGGCAAAAAATATCACAGAAACCCAAACCTGACCAAAAAAGTCAAAGAGAGAGGTGAGAGCCTCTGAAGTGAGTAGAAAACAAAAGAAAGGTGTCAGAGAACAAGTGTAAAGAACAATGCTTCTTGCACTTGCAAACTGTTGTGAGCCAGCAAGGAAATGTGAGGAGTTTGGCTTTTGCTGTTCTGGGTGCCAGCACTCCTAATGAGTCTGTCAGGGCCAGTTAGCACAGCCAGGCCTGCTTGTGTCCCCTCCGGGCCATAGACAGCTGTTATTAGCCCCGTAATGGCATGCCACAGGGCCAGATTAGCCTGGCACAGTGGAGAAATATCAAACATTCACTTACTGTGGCTCCTTCGCTGGCTAAAGAAGCTGTTTGGCAAGGAATTCATTTAGCTGTGATGCTGGCAAGCTACCTAACAAGCCCCAAAAGAAAAAAAGGTCTTCAGTGAGAGATGGAGTTAGTGTACAGTAGCTCCTCTGGAAGAAAATGTTTTAGTTCAAGCAGATCGGGTCAGATTTCTGATCCCTATTAAGAAACACGAGTCACATCTCACATGGAATCATGCTTTTGCTTTATGATTAAGTAGACATGGTTTGCTGTTTTCTTTTTGCCCGGTGATGATTGTCAAAACAGCACATTCTTATCTTTACTAATGCTGTATCATCATTATGCAAACCTCATCGACAAGATGGCCACTGCTGTCTATTCATCTGTTTTTACCTTTCATAATGAGCACAGGAAATCAAAACCTTACACAGCAAGTACTCTCACTCTGCCTTGGGGGATAGTGTGCACTATGCACTGTCTGTGATCAGCCCACAACATCTGATCAGCATACTGGTAACAGTTACTGATCTATAAAGTACGCATCTTACATAGTATACTGTAAATCATACTCTTGTTTCGAGTCTGCTGTTTTCTGCATATGAATATGCAAGCTTTTGCATATCTGGCTTTGCAGCTTGCATCTCGTGGCAATCACTCTGCATTTAGATCCATAAACACAATATACTAAAGTGTGTTTAGGGTGTTTTCCTATAAGAGCTGGGGCCGAGTCACTATTTTACACCTATATGTGTTTTCCTGTCTATAAGCTCTTACACATGTTTTCCTTGAAGTAAAAGGCCAGCTGTGGTTAGTTCATGCCATTTAAAAAAAATATTGTTAAGCACTGCATGTCTCACTGCAAAACACTCTCAGGCTAATGCCCTTGAATGTATTTATGTCTTTCTGGGTGTTCTACATATGCACCCTGTCTGCGTGTTAAAGGAAGAAGAAAAGTGATCTGAGGGAAAGATAATGTGATATTTATTAATTACTGCATTGTGTGTTTTCTTTCAACAATTTGCATCATATCCTCATTAGCAGACCATATGGATTGAGTGTGGCAAAGTCATTATGTACTATACAAAGCAAGCAGCTGCTGTAGTTATTTCCAAATATAAAACTATGTCTTGTCCTCTTGTTTATGAGGGGGCAGTTTTCTACATCACTGATGGCAGCTTTTATTTTCACAACAGGCAGAATACAAAGCTAAAAGCGGGTCGAGAGAGAAAAAATAGATGTAGCCCACTTTATCAATGAACACGCACAAAGCACGCGTTCTCACTATTCTAAAAATCAGATGACTGAAACAACACAAAACCTATTGAACACATGTTACTGAAGAGTGATGCTAATGTGCAAACAACAGAATATCGAGAGAATAACAGATACGCAGTGCTGTGCGTACTAGCTGAGAGTGAAGTGAGGAGATTGATAAAGACAAAGAGATTAAGAGCATTAGATTTGAAGTAAATCCTGTGAGGTACCCATGCTGTGGCTGTGGGCCACAGTGTGAACCCCACTGAGCTACACTCTCTCTTTCCCTGGCAGAGATCACTTTGTGCAAATCATTAGCTTCCCAAGTACTGAGGGCTTTTCCGCAACTCTCGTAGGTGCGTCTGGAATCCACACGGGGCAGTACGGGGAGGAGCTGGCAGGCTTAAGACCCAGTACCTACACTCCGATTATCAGTTGTGTAATGTACAAAAAGATGGAGCCAGTAGTAAACCAGTGCATAGGAACACTGGCTACCAAACACAACAGCTTAGCACCATTAGTGCCGCTCCATGAGCCAATTTTATCCAGTTATTATGTGTAGTACATCACCATGAAGTGATGTGACTAACTTGGCAGCCAATGTGCAGGTTTGTGACTTGGTAGAAATTTATGGAACTAACACTGGTAAACAAAAGGAGAACCATCAAAAAAACGTGTTTATTGACTGAATGATCTCTGTACTTTGGCTGAGACAGTAAAAGTAGAGAAACTTTGAAACTAAGTTACTTTAAAATTAATTTTATTAAAATGTGTATATTTTCATTACCGTTTAAAAAAAAAAGTACTGAATGTCTTTCTGTTTCTCTCCCCCCTTCCAGAGCAGATACGGTGCTCCAGATCGAGGTGTAAGGCTCTACAGTTCCCTGCCCATGCGCCCAAACCCTGACGGCAAGAGACTGCCCTCTACTGGGGTAAGACTCATCTCTCCCAGCCTCCCCTCCACCCACACACCCAATGGTCTCACCCACACCTATATGTCACTTTTAAACCATAGAGCAAGCCTCTGAACTTCCCTTAGTTGCACAACAAGAGTACCTAGACATCAGATGAGAAAGACGTATCGAGTTTTTACCGAGTCCTACAAGTATTGATAATATAAAAGAATCTGCATGAAAACAACTGAAATATGCAGTCAGCAATGTCTGGACTGAAATCACTTCCAGGAAACAACTTAACCGAACAATTAACAATTCCTCACACTTTATTCCTAACCTAAACCTCTTCCTCATTCTTTGACTATGTGTTGCACCCTCCACCCCTGACTAATACCAAGCCTATAATTTTTCCCACACTCACTCTAATAGTGATAGTAAGAGTCTCCTATCCCCACCCCATTATTGACCAAAAAATAGCACCCATCCGGCATGGTGGTTGCTGTGGTATTTCTTTGGTAGCTTCTCAAAGTAGCGTAGGTTGTGCAAATGATCGGTCAACCAATCGACTCCTACTGCATTTGTTTTGACACAGAACGAAAGCCAAGTTGTGCCTTTCTGGAAATAATACTTCTACCTGTTTCACGTGAAAAAGAATAATCTGATTATGTATGAAAATTAAACATTTTTCCCTTTTTCTTTATATTTTGCTGTGTTTGGACATCAAAGTCTCATTCTTTCTGTTATTTTATTATACAAATGTTCATGGGCATGGTTGGGAAAACAAAACAAAAAAAAAAGATTACGTTTATTGAAGTTAAGTGATGGAACACCTCCAGTACTTTGACTTTGACAAAGTGCTGGAACAGTCAGTCTACTTTGTTTGTGAAACCATTCTTTCATTTTTTTAATAAAACATCTTTTTGCAGAAATCATAATTAGAATCTAGCTTGCCTTGCTTTAATGCATTTATGTAACAAAGGAGAGAAAATGAAAGAACAATAGAGCAAAAAGAGAGAATTTAATTTCATATGTCTCCCTTTTTCATGTTTCACTCCATGCAAGTGCTTTTTGAATTATCTCTTCACTGCTCCAGGGCTCAATGGGAGGAAAAGTGAGGGAGTGAGGGAGAGGAAGAGAAGAGACAGGCAGACAAAGCGAAAGCTGTGTAATATTGTTGGTGCGCACCTTTTTTAATTACAACAGAGATTGTATTGATGTCTCAGGCCACATGTCCTAAATCATTTATCAAGGGGGAGAGTGCTAACAAAGCATTTCTAAGAAACCCATCCTCTCCCAGGGCCCAGAATCATATGTTATCTAAAGTGAATATTGTTAATGCTTTTCAGTGGAGAGACCCACTTACAAATCATGGGAATGAGTTCCTTGTCAGGACATCCGTGAGGTGGTAAAGATATATATCCACCTTCATCTAATCCGCTGTTGTGCAAATTAAATTGCACCTAAATCTCGATGTGGAAGCTGTTTGTAAAATAAAGACGCTCAAAGTTATGGATAAATGTTCAGCAGTGGAAAGAAGATTTGTATGTTGTCTAGTTGTTGTGTTCAGATTACACGTGTGCAAATTAGAATAGAACAAAAAAAAAACAACGCAAAAACCACAACACACATATACACACAGACATTATAAAAAGAGAAAATGTGTGCTATTTTTCTCCCCAACTCTTTCTTTCTTACTCACCTTTGGTTTTGTATGTCATTTCCTTTTGTCTGTTATTACCTGGGTACAGCGTCAGTACAGTAGCATACTGTAGCTACAGGCTGCTTGGAGAGGAGGAGAATATAAACCACTTAACATGCAGGAGGAAACCAGACGTTTTTCCATTGCACTTATCAGGTGCTGCGGTGAGAGCAAGTGTAAAGGTGTAGTAGGTCCCTGCCCCCCCTCACCCCAGCTCCTTCCTCCCCTCTTACTTCCCTTGCACACCCCTTTTATTTTCCCCTGATCTTTATCTCTGTCCCCCACCACACCACCACTCACCACCCTCAGTTCAGTTAAAAGTGGGCTTGGCACTTCCTC